ATTAATCACTAATTAAATGTGTATTGGATACAGAATGTCACATTTTTTAATGGAGCAAAAGGCCATAAACAACCAAACTGTAGACACCTTTTTGTTCAGAAATATCGGAATATATTGTAACTGCCTTAAAAAATCACAATAACTTTCTTAAACTTTTCTAGCTCTGATAATGTCAACCTTTTCCTCCTTCTCCTCGACAGTCAGTTTTCAACAAATCAACCTCACCCTTCTTTTTTAACATCTTACATCTTCCCTCAGTATTACTGATCCTGCCCTCTCCTGCCTGAAGTCAGATCTCACAGCAGACAGTAAATCAGTGTCAAAAATAGCTCCTTTGTGCCAACGTGTTCCCATGTGTTCAGTACTTTATCCATTACATTACTGCTCATTCTCTACATGCTCTGCCTTGGTAACATTATCTTTTATTTCCACCTCCACTATTACACAGTGATGTACAGCTGTTTGGGCTCTTCTCCATTAAATACATTGTTATAGCAACTTCAGCTGCTTTCAGACAAGCACTGAACTGCAGAAAGTGCGCGTCCATTTCTTCCAAAAATGACATCAAATTCTGACTTCTGACCAAAATACACGTTTCCACTGTGTTATGGTCCATCCCTGATGCCTTTGAGTCCAGAGAAATTGACTGCACTTACTTAACACAGTTGGCACAGTAAAGTTTTAACTGGAATTTGTGGATGTAGCTACGTATTGTAGTGCTTGACATATGTTTGCCAAAGTAATCCTGAGCCCATGCGGTTATATTGCTTATGGCTAGCAAAGTTATCTAATGCAGTGGCAACTTTGGTTAAATTCCTAAACAAACAATGGCTTCACATACAACCCCAAATCAGAAAAAGTTGGGACTGTTACATTTAAAATTAAAACCGAGAACAGTGATTTATAAATGATCTTTGCAAGCACATCATTTGATGTTTGACCACCTCATGAAATGTATTGAATTTTCAAAATAAACACTTCAATTTTGATTCTTGCAACATATTTCAAAAAAAGTTGGGACAGTAAAGCATTTACCACTTTGTAATGTTGCCATTCCTTTTCACAAAATGTTTTAAAGGTGATAAAGCGTTTCAGGTGTCATTTTGCCCCATTCTTTCTGCAAACAAGTCTCAAGGTGTGCAACAGTATAGGATCTCTATTGTCGCATTTGAGTTTCAAAATGTGCCACACATTCTCTATTGTGGCCATGTCGGGACTGCATGTCCAGCACCTGCACCCTCTTCTTCCGCAGCCATGCCTTTCATAATGTGTGCAGAATGGGGTTTTGCATTGTATTGTTGAAATATGCTTGGATGTCTCTGGAAAAGATGTTGTCTTGAAGGCAGCATATGCCGCTCCAAAATCTCTATGTACTTTTCGGCATAAATGTGCCATCACGGAGGTGTAAGTTACCTTTGCACTGACATAACACCATACCATGACAGACCCTGGCTTTTGGACATGTTGCCGGTCTGGATGGTCCTTTTCATCGTTAGTCCAGAGCACATGACGTCCATTTCTTCCAAAAATGACATCAAATACTGACTTGTCTGACCAAAATATACATTTCCACTGTGTTATGGTCCATCCCTGATGCCTTTGAGTTCAGAGAAGTTGACTGCGCTACTTAACACAGTTAATATAAGGTTTCCCCTTTGGCACAGTAAGGTAAAACAGTCCTCTGTTGCCATCACCAGAGTGATGAGAGTGCACATGCGCGAAGTCGTTTGCTGCCTGTTACGAGTGGTCCTGATACCCAACCACTTTTTCGAGACTTAACTTTCTTTTTAATTTCTTTCTTCGAGTGTGGGGATCACTTATACTTCACATCAAATCATCATGTAGTTTGCTAGAGTTTCGGTGTTTTTGTTAGCTTCTACACAACTCTACACCTGCACAGCGGTGCAGAACTCCATGCTGCCAGCATTGTTTACATCAGGGATCAGTTGATCGACCTGAAGCCGACGCCTTCGGTGACCACAGACTACAATATTCTGTCTGAAATCTTGAGACGGAAACACAGGGGATGCAGAGGAAGTAAAAAACTACGGAGGAAAAGGGAGGCTGTGAAACAATGGAGACTTATCGAGAAGAGTTATAAGCCGAGTCTTCCCTCCGTTGTCATGGGAAACGTGAGATGGCTGGGGAATAAGACGGACGAGCTGACTGCACTGGCCCAAAGTCAGAAGGAGTATCGTGAGTGTAGTGCAATGTGCTTTACGGAGACATGGCTGCACCAGGATGTTCCCGACGACAATACCACCATCAAGGGCTTCCACGCAGTGTGTGCGGACAGATACAGTGTCCAGAGCAGTAAGCGCAAAGGAGGGGGGCTTGCCGTTCTTGTAAACAGCCAGTTGTGTAACCCATCGCACATCACCGTAAAGGAGCGCATCTGCAGCCCGGATGCTGAACTTTTTGCTGTTGGACAACATCCATATTATCTGCCAAGGGAGTTTTCTCACGTTATCATGGTGGCTGTTTATGTTCCTCCCTCTTCAAACCCGAACACTGCCTGTGAAACAATTAAATCTGCAATAGCCCGGATCAGACTCATCAGCCAAGTGCATTCAATGCTATCTCGGGTGACTTCAACCATGTCAACCTGGACTCTATACTTCCCACTTTCACCCAATTTGTGAGCTGTCCCACCAGAGAGGGAAGAACAACAGACCTGATTTATGCTAATGTTAAATAGGCATACAGCTCTTCCCCCCACCGGGCAGCTCAGATCACAACCTTGTTCATCTTACCCCTGCTATGTGCCTATTGTCAAGAGACTGCCAGCAACAACAAAGACAGTCAGGAGATGGACAGATGAGGACAATCAGACACTGCAGGGCTGCTTCCAGGTGACAGACTGGTAGGCACTTTGTGAGCCCCATGGAGATGACATCGACGGGCTGACAGAGTGCATCACCGGTTATATCAACTTCTGTGTGGACACCATTGTCCCAACCAGGAACATCAGTTGTTACCCCAACAACAAGCCGTGGGTAACTAAGGAAATAAAAGCCAGCCTGAATGAAAAAAAGAGTGCCTTCAGAGCTGGCAACAGAGAGGAGGTGAGAGAAATTCAGCGGAAGCTGAGATCGGAGATCAAAGAGGCAAAGGAGAAGTACAGGAGGAAGTTGGAGCGCAGGCTCCAACAGAACAACATGCGAGAGGTCTGGAGTGGAATGAGGACCAACTCTCTACACCACAGACTTCAGCTACTGCACAGAGACCTGCCACCTTCAGAAGTTTTCTGATGACTCTGCAGTAGTAGGATGTATCACTGATGGTAATGAGAGTGAGTACCGGACTGTGGTGGACTTTGTCACATGGAGCTGTAAAAACCACCTACAGCTCAACGTGTCAAAGACAAAGGAACTGGTGGTGGACTTTAGGAGGTGGAAGGGGAGAGTGACCCTGTTACCATCCAAGGGGCCTGCGTGGACATGGTGGAGAACTACAAGTACTTGGGGGTGTACTTAGATAATAAACTGGACTGGTCAAAAAATGTGGATATGATTTACAAAAGAGTCCAGAGCCTGCTCTATTTTCAGAGACGGCTCAGGTCCTTCGACATAGACAGGACAATGCTGCGGATGTTATATGAGTCTGTTGTGTCCAGTGCCATCATGTTTGTTTGTCTTGTCTGCTGGGCAAGAAAAAGGATATTAATATACTCAACAAGCTAATCAGGAAAGCCAGCCTGTGGCTGTCAAAATTGTAAAATGACAACCTGTTTTTTTTATTGCTATGTTTATACCTGCTTTTGGTCTTTCACCTCTTTCTCAGGGGCTCTGTCACGTTTGAATTTCCCTACGGGGATAAATAAAGTACTTCTGATTCTGATATTTCAAATCTTTTTCAAATCTTTTAATCATTGTACCTCATTACTAGCCCAAAATTTTCCCCGTCCAAACTTTTTTTGGAATGTGTTGCAGGAATGGATGTATATTTACAAAAAAAGTTGAACAGACTATGTGCACAATGTCTGCAATGAACTACAAGTCAAATTAAATTTAGAAATCACTGCTGTATTTTTTAATTTACATTTTCCATACCATCCCATCCTTTTCTGAGTCGGGGTTGTAGAAAAATCTAACCAAATAATATTCCACTCTGAACATTGATGCAATATAAACCTGAGTGTTTTCCACTTTTTAGAAGATAACAATATTATCTAACAATATTTATTTTTACAACTCCCTTTTTCCCTTTAATTAAAATTGTAATATTATACATATAATAATAACCGGAGGGTGGCCGGTTCAAATCCAGCATGGACGGAAGTTCGAGAGATGCTAGTTCACCTCCTGGGCACTGCCGAGGTGCCCTTGAGCAAGGCACCGAATCCCCCAATTGCTCCCCGGGCGCCTTCATGGCTGCCCACTGTTCTGTGTGTGGTCACTGTGTGGATTGTGTTCCGTGTCTTCCGTGTGTGCTCCGTTCACACGGATGGGTTAAATACAGAGGTCAAATTTCCCCATGTTTGCWTGTTGCATGCTGTGTGTGGGACCAAAAATAGGAATCTTAATCTTAATATAATCGTGGACCAGTATGATGTTGTGGCTATGGATGTTGCCACCAGGATCTCCCAACAGCAGCCAGAGACAAACCACTCAGGTTTTAACATGAGGACAGCAAACATAAATTGTCCTTCTGATGCGTTTCTCTACCTTGTGACAGCTCTCCTGCTGCCTTTCAATCCATGGAGTGTAATTAGCCAACTAACCTAAGCTGTGCCAATAAACCCTTCCTGGTTGGCGAAAGCAGTGGCGAAAGCTGTACCTATCTGGAGGCAGAACAGGAGGCAGCAGTTGAAGGCTGCAATCCTGATTTAAGTCACCGGCATTATGCATCTCCTGAACATGCACACCAAGTATCATTACCATCCGATACCATTCATTGCATACATTGTAATGTTGAAACGTGTGTGATTGGTCCTACTCTGTCTTTTAACAGAACTTAAGCAACTGAAGTAACTATTCAGCTTATGCAATTAGGAAATTGGCTTGTTGTTGCTCAAGACATTAATCTCTTCATTCTTTTGAGTGCAACTTAGTTAGATCCCACAAAATGTTATTCACTGTTAACCGCATCACCATTGTAAAATCCCTTGCTCATCAGTGTCCAGATGGAGATGAGAATTGCCACCTGTGGACAGCTGTGGACCTGGCCTTCTTTGTCCTGATGGGGGTGGTAGGTGGCTTGCTGGGGGCACTCTTCAACTGCATGAACAAGTGCATTTCGAAGTATCGCATCAGACATATCCACCCGAAGGCCAAGTTTATCAGGTGATTGTAACATCACATGTTCACAGAAGAAGCAGTCCATCTTGAAATAGTACATTACATTGTTCAATCAAAAATTGTAACTGTTTTAATAACAGTTGTGCTTTGGAAAGCAAATATTTTTGTCATTTAAATATTTCATTTTTTTAACATTAACTGAATACCGAAATACAACAAGATTACAGATAGTAATGATTTTGACAGTTGAACAGAAATTGAACAAAAAACAAGATAACAGTTAACAACAGCTAGAACTTCCCCAGCACCCCATTAATTATCTCATATATATACCCCATAAACATATACAGTACCAGTCAAACATTTGGACACACCTTCTCATTCAGCGGTTTTTTCTTTATTTTTATTTTAGTCTACATTGCAGATTAATATCTTAAGAAGGCAAGAAATTCCACAAATTAACTCTTGACAAGGCACACCTGTTAATTGAAAACCATTCCAGGTGACTACCTCATGAAGCTGATTGAAAGAATGCCAAAGAGTGTGCAAAGCTGTCATCAAAGCAAAAGATGGCTACTTTAATTCACATATTAGTACACCCAAATCCTTTCCACCTAGTACACTCAATCCTAAGATATTGCTCCTGCAATAATGCGATTTTGCCATGCCTGGCCAGTTTTGCTTTTAATGTTTTTTTACCTTGGCAATAATTTTTTTCAGAGGTAGCCATCTCTGTCATGAGTTTAAGCCATTCTGTGAGCTTGGGTGTATGTGGGCTCTTCCATTTTTGTAGAATAAGCCTGGCTGACAAAATAAAACCTTATAATGTCTACCTGAGCCCTGCTTGTGGCATAAGTGATTTGTTCCCTAGTAGAAATAGGATTCTAGTAAGAATAGTTTGAGCCACGCTCCTACAGACTCAGACTTTCACACAATCTTGTTTGCATGTTTTACATCTTCCTATGAAATATTAAGGAGTGGAAGGAATGAGATGCATTTTGAAACATCCTTTTTCTTCTCTTTTTGTCGAAAACATAACTTATGTTGTACACTTAAGCTGTAAATACTTATACTGCAAAAAATCCCTTTCTCAGTTCTTTAAGGTCCACAAAATGACCTAAATGAGCTATCTCTATTGAGATCATTCATAATATGTAGCTCTTTTACCAGCCCACTGAAAATGCTTTAGAAATAGGTTACCTTTTTCTCCTTATTTTGCTGTGGTGTTTTTTTGTGATAACAGATATGTTACACCAGTGTCACTTCTTTCTTTACCCATCCAGAGTTAGATTTATAATTTGCATACTAGC